GGGGGGAAGGGGGCGCACACTGCCAGCAGATGGAGCAAGTGAGGCTGTGACCCACCACGTTAATTACTGCAGTGGCTGTATGGCGACATACTTTAGCCAAGCGCATCCATCCATGTTTGACCAGCTGCCCTGTATCACACGCACGTCAACAAACGCCACAGCTCCCCGACCATTCTTACCCGGCTCTGCGCCCCTTCGTGGCACACACGTTTGTCAAGAGCAGGACCCGTAACCAGCACGCCCCAGTCTTTCCCACGAAGGAGGCGGGGGTGTTGGGGGTCAGAGCCGCGAACGGCCAGCCGCAAGCTATAAAAAAGGGCTTTGATGGGTGTGTTTTGCAGCTCCACTCAGTTTCCAAAGGCTCTAGGTTTTGTCTCTGTTTGTGCAGCTGACGCCGAACAGGGCACGACTGCGGCAGGTATGGTCATACCGTTACCCTAAATGGGTCACGTGACAAGGCCCTTTCATCTGGCGTGGTTTACACACTGGGCCGTGTTGCTTTGACGTGTCTGCTGGCGATGGCCCCAAGCCTGGTGTGGTGCTGGCCTTAGTGACAGTGGGAAGAAGGCGCTAGGACGTACCATGCACCAGACGCTTTGCCGCAGACGGCCTAGTGCCCGGCTTTCAGGTGCTGGTGGGGGCCTCATGCAAGCCTGTCACTGTTATGAATAATCAGGTTTGTCTTGTTAGGGCTAGAGCCCAAAGGGCATTAGGCACCTGCCGCCTCAGTGTCTAAATCCCAGAATCGGGCCCTTGCTCAGCAGCCACTGCACATCATAGGCCCCTAAAGTCACATGGCTCCTCCGGGTCGGTCTCTGCGCAGCCTCATTCCCAGATGTCCCGACTCGCATGCCCCAGAGCACTGCACGAAGCCAGAGGATGGGTGTAGTCCCCCACCACACACACACACACACTCCTGAGTCGCCCATGGGGGCCTGCGCTGGGCTCCTAGCTCACCCACAGCCAGGGGCTGCAGCGCTCGCAGGACCGCTGAGGTGAGGGGGCAACCGCCCACATGACTCAGCCTAGGGTTAGGACAGGCAAGGAGGGCCCTGGGTCTCATGCTCCCCTCGGTTTGCAGGGGCGGAGGGATTTGAAGCACCCGCTGCCCCCCCACACATTGCATGCACTAGCCACTGGGTATAGAATAACCTGCTGTGGGGCTCCCGCAAGTGCTCCTTTGATGCTGTTACACGGTGGATAAGGCAGGAGTCCCGCGCGACTGTGTGTGTCCGAGCATGAGGCTGCAGCCTGGGGGGTGGGCACACGCAGCGAGGTGGGGGGAGCCCTAGCAGCCAGCCCCCCGCCCACCCCCCCCCTAAGCCCGGTGTCTACGTGTGTGACTCTGAGGCAGGGGCAGGTACCCCCAGGCAGAGCTGACACTGCCACAGGACGGTGGCTGGGTGTGTGGCCAGCCCACAGGGCCTGCACCGCGCTGCGTGGGTTACAGCCCAAACCCCTGGCACAACAACTGCTGCGGGGGCCCTTCCTGCCAAGATCCGGGCCGCGATGTAACTGGCCTGGTGCAACCCCGACATGCACAATGGTGCCACTTCAGCACGGAGCGCTGGCAAAAACAGCAGTGGGGTGAGCGGGTTGAGGTCAGGGAATGGGAGACAGAGCTGTTCCAGGCCAGCCCTGCCTGGGCAAGGGGAGGCCGGGCTAGGCCAGGGAGGGGAACCTGGGGTGATCCATGGCTCGGGCACTGATTTCAGTCTGGTGCAAGGAGAGATACTAGCTGCCTTGGGGGATGAGAAAGGAAACCTGGCTCATTTCCTCCTGGGCCACAGTGCAGGTCACTTGCTGGACACCAGTGCCGACCCGAGATCTGGGGGGGGAGGGAGGAAATCCACTGCCCCCCCCCCCGCCTGAAGTGCCCAAGGCAGTTGCGATGTGCCAGCCGTTCAGTGCCCCGGCTGAACGTAGCAACCAGGGGCTAGCACAGCCATGCCCACGTAGATACTAGCCCCAGGTGGGAGCTAACTCGCCCTCGGGGGCCATGGGCCGGCTGCCTTCCCCTCCACGGCTCCTACTGCCCGTGCACCATCCGTCCTGGGCCCACAGGACATCAGCCGGCCTCTCACCCCAGCATCCTCACGGCTGGCAAAACCAGGCCTCGCCCCGGGCACAGACCACCCCACCTTCCACACACACCCACACACCCTCCCTCCTGTCTGGACTCCCGCTGCCCTCACAGCTGGGCTGCCCTGGCTGAACAGCAGCAAGCCCACAGCGCCCCCTGCAGCCCAGAACCACCAACTGCTGCACGAATTCAACCAGACTGTGACCCTACCCGCAGCACAGTCGGGTCCCCCGGGACCCCCCCGACCCTGTTCAGGCCCCAGGGGAAGCCCAGCTGCCTCTGCTGCTTTCCTCACAGGGGGCTGAGGAAGGACCCCTTCCTCCCCTGACCTGGCTCTTTGACCCCCAGCCCAGCACCAGCCCCCACCCCACTCTCTGCCTCCCCACCCACCCCCAGCCCCCTCAGGCCGCCAGCAGAGGAGGAGGGTGGACCTGGGGCTCCCAGCCAGCACTGGAGCTGGGTGAGAGAGACACCCCATGCAGGGACCACACTCAACTGCCTCACAGCACCCCCTGCCTACAGGAGCCCCCCCCCATAGAGATCCCCTTGGATGCTGGCTTCCCCCAGCAGCCAGCACCCCTCCCCTGCCCCACACACCCTGCTAGCAAAGCCAGAGCCAGGGGAGCAAGTGACCACTTCAGGCAGCACCCTGGCAGGCTGAAAGGGGCTCTCCTTGTAACCCGTGCTTTGAGGCTGGCCATGCCGAGAGCAGCTGGCGCCTGAGGAGACGCAGGGGAGGCGCGGATGGGATGCCCTGATACCAGAGGGGGATGGGGCAGGGTCCGGGCGTCTCAGCAACAACAGAACAACAAGGCGAGGTGGAAACTGCAAGGCCTGGGGGGGGGGGGGTCCCGCCTTCCTGCACAACCCACACCCCCTCCCGTGCAGCGAGATCAGAGATTGCTTCACTCGTTTTATTACGGTATCAAAAGGAGACAACCCAATGAAGTGATGCCATTCAGCACGACCACGCCCCCATCCAGGGGAGGGGCCTAGCAGGAGCCAGCCGCCCCCGACTCCCCCACATCCCAATGGGCAGAGTGGGCCCCACACCCCTCCACTGTGCAAAGGAACACCGAGGCTGCTGGGCTCTGTGACACCGGGGGGTCCTGAGCGGGCTGTAGTGTGAAGGGGTGATGGGGAGAGAACTGGGCTCTAGAGCTGGGCGGGGGGGAGAACTGGTTGTCCAGGGGGGAGGGGGAGCAGGCTGGACCCCGGGAGGAAGCATCTGTGAAGGGGGCATGAGGCTACGGAGCTGGCAGTGGGGGCGCCCGGCTGCAGGCAGAGTGTGCTCAGTGCCCGACTCCCTCCAGCCGGGCAAAGCGTGGGGCTGACGTGTTACTCGGCCTCAACGATGACCGGGATGGGATTTTCCTGGCCGGCCTCCTCCGCCGGCTGCTTCTTGCGCGTTTCCGCGGGCGGCCGCGGCGGGGGCATGGTGGGGGGCTGCTTGATGGTGCCTCCTCCCACCTGCGGCCGCTCCTGGGGCTTCTGCTCAATGGGGTTCCACTCCTCGCCGCGGATCGCAGCCTGCAAAGCAGCCCCCACAGGGCAGTGAGAGCCGAGTCACCCCTTCCCCTGTCCCCCCCTTCAGAGAGCCTCCCTCAGGCCCAGGAACCCGTCCACACAGCTATCACCCCCCACCACCTCCCATTCACACAACGGGCGCCTCTGCTGGCCAACCTAACTCGATGCACCCTGGAGGTTTTTAGGGACCCAGAACGCTCAGCATTCGAGTTAGCCAGCAGGGGGCACTCAGCGCCTGGCAGAGAAACTTCTCCCTCAGACCTAGGGAAAGCAAAGGAGGTTACTGCATCTCTTACCTTCCACCTGGCACCCTGCCAGCTCTGTACAAATATTAACTAATTAACCCCTCGTGGGGGACTGTAGCTAAACACCATCCAGTTTATTGATGGGGAAACTGAGGCATGCACCGATCCGGTGAGAAGCAGTGGCAGCTAGGACACGAACCCAGGAGTCCCAGTCCGCTGCTCTAATCACTAGACCCAGAAATGGAACCCAGGAGTCCTGCCTCTCTCATGCTGTAACCACTAGATCACATCACTGGGGGGCAAATACATTCCTGTCAACTATATCCCTGATTAAAGCAGAAGCAAACAAAAGATGATGAGAGGCGTGAAACATGCCGGGTGAGTCGAAAGACAGATGCTGCCTGGTTTTCTGAGAATGGCACCAAGCCCCCAAGCGCCTGCTCTGTAGGAATAACCCCCCAGAGGGCTAACAAGGTAGGTGAGGTGACAGCACTGGGCACTTACCAACAAATAGATGCCACTTGCGATGCCCAAACACGCCGTGCCCAGAATGGTGGATAACAGGAAACCCGCAGGCACTGCAAGACTGAGCGAGAGAGAGATTTAACTCCAACCGAACCTTTTTAAGACAAGCCTCCAAATAAATTAAGAGCAAAGGTTTGTGGGTAACGCAAGAGGGGAGCAAAGGTCTGTGGGTAGCGCACCGGGGAGCTGGTTCTCTCTGTGGATTCTGATGCGTTCCGCAGAATCCAGGCTTTTGTTTACCCAGAAATCAAACGTTTCCTCAACTGGCGAGTCAAATCCCTGGTTCTCTCTGTGGCTGGCCAGACAGAAAGAGCCTGTCTGCTATGGGGGAGATGGTGCCTGGCACAGGGGGCACAGGGACAGGCTGGGTAGGGTGCCAACCCCAAATCTCCAGCGTGGGTTTAGCAGGAACAGTTCACTGCCCATTCCTGGATTCTCCCTGCTGTAACTTTTGGGGGATTGGAGCAGACTCTCCACCCCAGGCTCAGAACCAAACCCAAGCCCCGCACACAACCTGGGACAATTCCTGAGTGGGCGGAGCAGTCCATTTACACAAACTCCCTGTGAACTGAAGCTGGGGAGACGCCCGCCATTTGACATCCAGGAGGCAGGACCAGATACGAATCTAGCCCCTGCCGAGAGCAACGGGTGGCTTCCCATCCCCAAATCAATGAAACCGTCTCACGCTTCCCATTCTGAAGGCTGGCAGAGCACATCCCAAACTCCATGCAATGCACACAGCCCCACTGAAATGCAGCCACCTCTGGGGTGGAGGGCAGCAGCTCACTGCGGCACTCTGTGTTGCATAACAGCAGCGGAAAGGGAAAACTTTGGGCCAGATCATGGGAGAACCGCTGCTTAAAAACAAAGAGACAGGGACAGTGCACACAGGCGCTCTCATTCACCCAGAGCAGTCGTGGGCTCAGATCGATGTTGGAAGGGTGACGGTTATACTGACCCCATGGTGAGAGGGGATGAGGGATTTCAAACCTGGTGCTTACGAAGAGAAGCCATCCCCGCTGGCTATGCACACCCTCTCGGTGCCGCCACTCGATCCAAGCCGGGCCTCACTCGGGATCAGGCATGTGTGTACTGAGACATGGTTAAATGTAACCCCGGGTAGGAGCTGGCTGTGGACACGGACACGGACACACACACCGGACTTACGCAGCATGCAGGATGGCCCGGATGTAGTAATTCCTAGTGATCGGCCCAAAAACCTTCACCACGGCTGTCAAGTACTTCTGGCCACTGCATGGGGCGGAGAGAGAGAGAGAGAGAGCGCACACAGGGAAGGGGGGGTCAGAAAGGCATGGGATTCCCACAGAGGATGAGGCACATGACACAGAAGGGCAGCCCTCCCTCTGCTCCCGATCACATGCCCCAATCTGCCCTGTGCCACGCCCCTCTCTCTGCCCCCTCTATCCTGATCAGGATCTAACATGCTCACCCAGGCAGTTGAAAACATTGTGGGAGCGCAGAAGTCTCCTCCCACCTGATCACCAATGACCAGCGAACAGGGCAGTGAGCTGCAGCCCCTGGCACTCTGGGGATCTGAACTGCGATGTGACAGGGAGCCAGACAGGGCACAGAAAACCCTGCTGCTATGGAGGAAGTCAGCACCCTGGACATGAGGCTGCAGGGCTGCGATACCCAGAGACCCGAGCCCAGTTCGGCCACTCCAGCTCCCTTACGACTTCCTCTCCAAAACCCCAGCAGAGCCCCTCCAGCCAGGAATTTCAGGGCCACGACTGCATTTGGGGCTTTTTAATTCCAGCCGAGCCATGTTTCACTGCCATGGAAACGCCCCACTGCTGGCAGGGTGAGACCTTATCTAGCACGCCGTCCTACTGGCGGAATAAAGCTGTTCAGCCATGTGTCATAACCCCCATACTTCTCGGAGATTCTCCTGTCGTTCAGACTGGAGACGTGCTGTTGGAGCAGGAAGAGGCACGTTTTGGCCCTTCTAGGCCTGAAGAACATAGCAATTGCCAGACTGGATCTGACCAGAGGTCCAGCTAGCCCAATAACCTGTCTTCCACCGGCACCAACTGCTTCAGAGGAAGGGATGAGAAACTCCCTAGTGGGCATTAAGGATCACCCCGTCCATAGGAGAGAGTTCCTTCCTAACCCTTGTCAGTGAGTTGCTGGCTAATGCCCTGAAGCATGAGGATGTATTGGGTTTTATCCAATCTAATCTAACCATGGATGTTCTTTTCAAGCCTGCCCATGTCAAAATCCATTTTTTAGGACCCTGCTAAGCTGTTGGCCTTCGTATCATGTTGCAGTGAGTTCCACAGGTTACTTATCCATGGCTTAAGACACCATTTCCTTTCCTCAGCTTTGAGCATATTGCCTCCGCTCTCCATGCCATTCCATTGCCAGGACGGGGCTGCAACAGTCAGTTTGGGCCTGGACTGAAAGCCAGAAAATCCCCTTTGTGAGATCACCCTCCTCCCCCCGACAGCTGGAGGCGAAGGCGGGGGAGTACTTACCATCTCTCCATGGTGGAACCCTTTTTCCGCTTCCCCCGGGGGTACTCCAGCAAGCAGATGAAGACCCCAGCCGCTCTAAGAGGACCAGTCAAGGAAAATAGCTTCTCAGTGCCCAAATCCCCTTGGTCTATGCTGCCTATCTGGAGAGCCCATAAGGTACAGCACAGACCCATGAGGTCAGGAGAAGCCTTTTTCAGACTCCCTCCCACATTCGCTGCCTGGATGGGACCTCGACGGCAGCATCCACCCTGGGGAACTTCTGCTGCCAGCTGCAGCAGCCTAGGACTGGCCCGTCAGCCCATCAAATCCAGGATCCCACCTGTGGCCGGGGACAATGCCTGATGTTCCAGAGGGACACAAGAAAAAGCCCATAATGCTGGCCAGCTAAGCAATGAAGGGCAGAGGGTAACAACAGCTGACTGACCCCAGCAGGCGGAAGGGAGTTTGCCCCTGAAGCGTGAGGATTGGCTACCCCTGCTTTAGCACACAGGACCACAAAGGTTATCAACCAGCGGACAATTCCCCAGCCTCATTACAAACCCAGCCACGGCGGCTGGGCACTTCAACCCTTAGACCATGGAACTCGGCTAGTCAGTTTCACTGTTTGTTTATCGTAAGTTCCACTTCTGGGTTCCAATACACTGGCCCCAAAGCGGCTGCTTTTGGGTTTCTAGTCCCGTAGGGGGAGAGGGGTTGAAATGCCCCACCCCAATTTCTTCATTTTGACTTTGTGACATTGCGAAAGCTTTTCCAGCAACTCTCAACCTCTCGACAGCCGGGTACCCTTTTAAACCACTGCTGTGGTGAGCAAAGCCAGGACGCCGCAGCCTCCGGAGATCTTCGCCCGCAAGATGCCTGGGGAGCCCAGGGACAGATGGCAGTTCTGGGAAAGGATACATGGCATAGGCAGCAAACGGCCACCCTTTGAACTGAGCAGCTACGGCCACAATCCCTCCCGTCACTAGAACTAAGAGACAAGGGAGAGAGAGGGAGGAGGTTAATAAACCAGAGCGAAGGTCCCCACACTCTGTCCTCATGGTACCCAAGAGCTGAGCTCCTCTGAGCCCGGAACAGGCTTTGTCCCCACGGTACTCTGCTCCAGAGCGATAGTTAATCCCAGGTCTAGCCATTCATTGAGCGCCCCACACGCCACGGCAGGTCGTTTCTATCTGTTTACAGAGACACAGTTCTCACGCATTAGAGAAACAGCCCCCAACATGCCGCACAACCTCAAACTGCCCCCGCTGCTGCTCCCTCCCCCAGCCCGTATCACGCCACCGACTGAGCCTGGGGAAGATTTTAAATCAAAGCCTCTCCCCGGGAGGTAAGAGCTGGAAACAGGACCCAACCTGAGAGGGTTTTTGCCATCCGGTGACGCCAAAAGAGGTCACCTCAACTTGTGACAAATTTGGCAGGAGAAATAGGGTGACCAGATGTCCCGATTTTATAGGGCCAGTCCTGATTTTGGGGTCTTTTTCTTATATAGGCTCCTATCCTCCCACCCCTTGTCCCGATTTTTCACATTTGCTGTCTGGTCACCCTAAGGAGAAATAACAATCCAAACACACTCTGGGGCTCAAGCCAGGTCAGTTGGACACTCATTAGAGCTGGTCTTTGCACCAGGGAGTCTGACACCACAAGCGCCGCTGTTTGGTCAGTTACACTCCAGCCTCTGGCCTGGCCATGGCATTTCAGCACAGCCCCAGCTACGCTGGTTTCAATTCCACTTGGGCCAGCCACCACGGACAGGAGAAATCACCTGCAAACCACCTTCAACCGAAGCTGAAGGACGGATTTAAATGTAAGAACGCCGCCTGGGAAGAGGGCACCATGCGTAGCTGCGTCTGGCACGCTGGGGCGGGCACGCATCACTGCAAGGGAAAGTGACACCGAATGGCCTCGGCTGGAGCTAGGGTTGGGGTGAGGCGGTAGGAGGGTGAGGAAGGATGAACATGGGGGAGAGTTACGGGGATCACTCAGCCGTAGGCACCAGTGGAAAGGGCCCCTTGAGAGGGCATCTCCCCCAGTTACTGCAGGGACTCCGCAGCACGTCACATCAATACGCTAACCCAGTATTACGTAACCATCACTGCATAGGCCCCTGCCCGGAAGTAAGTCCTGCCCGGAGCCAAGCATTGAACCCAGCTGGATTCTTCACCAGGGAAAGGAGGAAGAGACTTCGCTAGTTACCCAGACGCCCTGGCTGGGAATCAGCAGGGGGACTTTCCCAGGTGTTACAAGAAGCCACCAGCACAGCCAGAGCCTCGCCAACTCACACAGCAAGAGCACAGCAGAAAACCCCACTCCCAGCGAGGATACAGCTGCCCTGTCACAGTAGCTGGGACCTGAATCTGCCAGACAGCAGCAGCCTGGCAGGGCATGTTCACATTGCCCTAAAGCAGAGCCAGTTTTGCAGGAGTGGTCCCCTGTGAAGGTCACGCATCCATGGTGACCTGGGCAGGAATGCAGCTCTCGCTCTGGTCAAGCCAGTCCAGAGACGGCTTTTTAAAGCCACAGCTAGTGCACCTGGGACGCCCACTTTGCACTTTCCCATCAGCCAGGCAGAAGTGGGAGCAGAGGGACAGAAGTTGCCTGGCTCTTTATTCACTGGGCTAGACACGGGCCAGCATATTTGGCGTGAAAGCCCAGAGCCAGCCAGAGAGGAGGGTTTAGGTCTAAGGGAGGATGTGCTACTCACAGAGGCAGGCCCAAAGTTAAGAAACTTCCTTGTTTCCTGCACAGCCCATCACATTCTTTCCTTGCTTAAAAAACCCAAAACAAATGCAGCCTTGACATTCTCAAAGCCTCTAGCGGAGGCGATTAACCTGCCGCGCAGCATCCGCTGGAGGGAGCGATTTCTAGCTGAACAAACCAAACAGCCAGGATCCAGTCCCTGGATTCGGTTCCTTTTAGACTAACAGACGCTTCGGGATTTTTCGTGTCTAAGCAGAAAAAAATAAGCCCAAAAGGCCCTAGGCTCAATAAATAGTTTAATCTACCCCCATCTTCAACCCTCTCCAAAAGTTGGCCTGACTTGTGAGCCTTAAAATGCAATGCTCCCTGCCCCCATTGCATGTTTTGGGGCCTTTCTTTTAACTCGTTAGGCATGTCTAATTTGCAGTGACCACAGCAGATCCCACAACTCAGATACTGACATGCACACATCGCTAATTAGGTGCCAATCACTAATTAGGCACACTGCCACGCATAGTTACCCAGCTAGCAGGTGGAAGGATTAAAGGCCAAGTGCTATAACCACGCCGGCTTCAGGCCGTAAACCAAATCCTAAGTGATGGATTGAGAAGCAGCCTTCCCTGCAGACAGGCAAGTCCCTGCCTACTACAAGGCGCCTTGTACCTTGTGCTGAAGCATCTGGCGCTGGCCGCTGCCAGAGACAGGCTCCCAGGCCAGCTGGCCCCTGCGTCTGATCCAGACTGGCAATTCCTACGCGCCTGGCCCACAAGGCGAGTATTTGGCATGCAGCGTTGCACATTCGCATTTATCAACTGGCCATTTGCGGGTTTGAGTTCCAGGCTGGTGCTGGCCTGGCAGCTCCCAGCTCCTTCATTTATCCCCAGCTACTTAGCTCTGTGCTCGCGTCCCCATCGGCACAAGCTGGCGGCACCACCATGGAGGTGGCAGGAGACACCGGGTACCACACCCCAATCGGGAGGCGGACGGCAGTGTGCATAGGCAGAACTGAGCTATCTTAGATCCAACCAGCTCACTACAAATAGCAGCGTGGCAGCGGGTTAGATGCCCCAGTACGTACCCAGGGCCCAGGCGAGACAGTCCGTGGGTGGCTAGCCCATGATCCCGCCCCCCCTCGTTTCCCAGACACCCTGCTCTTTTTAGCAAGCGAGCTCAGCCCTGCCTGCCCTCCCAGCTGCAGTGAAGACATACCCTGAAGGTGAAATCCCAGTGCCAGCCTGGGTGCCAGGCTGACCGTGGATTTTGTGATGACGAGCTGTCCACGGGGACTAGACGGTAAATGTAACTTGGTGGCTACAATCACCTGATGGTAACAACACCCAGTAACCGAGAAGCAAAAGGCTCCCCAGCTCATCCCGCTCTTCCCACCAGCCCTCCCACCCACTCTCTCTCTCCTTCCAGTGAGTTCCCCAACAATTGAAGTGTCACAATGATGCTGTAATGTAGTTAGGTTCTTCTCTCTGGCCGCAAAGTTCGCAACCATGTCACGGCTGGGGGGTGCCAGCAGGGCAGATCTAGTTAATTTATACATTGGAGCAGTGGTTCTCAACCTGGGGCCTGTGGGCCGCAGCAGTGTGCTGATGGGGCTGCATGTGACATCCTCGGGGCCAGACGGGTAATACTGGATGCAGCCCGCAATGAGAAATAGGTTGAGAACCACTGCATTGGAGGGATCCCAGCTCCTAGCTGGAGAACACTTTGGAAGAAAAAATCCCTGTACAAACGCTCTTCCCAAGGGACTCAGCCCCACGCCGGGTGTCAAACTGAGGCCTGGCTCCACTGCCACGTGTTACCATATCCCTGTGTCGGCGTTCGCAGTGTGAACGCTGCTATCCCAGGATAAAGGTGCCGTAGCAGTAGGGGGATTTATTTCCCTTCCTGCGCAGGAAAGCGATACTGGTTCCAAGCACCTTTATCCTGGGATAACGGCATTCAAGTTAGGGGGCTGAACAGCAGCTCTCTCATGGGAGCAAGTCCCCAGAGAAACCCAGTTTACTCAGATTTCTATAGAGAAGTGAAGTTGGTGGCGCAAGCCCTGTACCCACTCTGCAGTGGGAGTTTTCATGCACATTTTATCACCAGATGCTGATCAGGCCAATGGAAGAGACTCATTAAGCAAGAGGAGAACAGAAGAAAAACAGCCCGGACGCTTCCTTCCCCTTTTTATTCTTTTCACTTCCTCAACCTCGGCCTCGGCCACTGGGCATGCCCCGCGCTGCAGGGTGATGGATGCTTGCCCAGGCCCCGTGAGGCTGGTACTGGGGAGGAGACTGGGTCTCCGGTGGGGAACACAGCAGCTTGGGAAATACCAGGATGAGGAGTGGGCATTGCTCATCACAGACCCTGCAGGGCAGGGAGGGTCCCTCCCCCAGGAATGACCCTGGGGAAAGGCAGCCACTTCAGACCTTCTCTTAAACCCTACCCCCCCACCCCTGCCCCACAGCCAGCCCTCCCATACCCCCTCCCCAGCTCTCCTTCCTACCCCCTTCTCCACCCCACCCCCAGCTCCCCTTAGCCCAGTTTTCACCCCCAGATCCCACCTACTCTCCATCTCACCCTCTTCCCTTCTCCCCCCAGCTCAGCTCCCCCACCCTAATCCCCTGATTCGCCCCCCCCAGCCCACCTCCTTCCTGCCCCCAGCTCCCCTCCTCCACCCCCCCAATTACCTTCCCAGCTCCCTTCTCCTAACTCCCCAATCACTACTGCCCCACTCCCCTGCCCCCCTC